TGCATTCGACTACGAATGGTTGTAAGTACAATGGTCAAATAAGGTCATTCAACAGCTAAGATTACTATTGATTAGTTGGCCTTGTGGTTGACCAGGAGAGTAGAAGCGGTTGAAGATATTTCTTTTGTACACGTAACTCCGGTTACATATTGCAGATGGCTACGGCTTCAAACGTTTGAGTGGCTTTAAATCTCACAAGCTTTGGCAAAATTTACTGACCCGATAAATAATTTAGAAGGATCGGTTTATATTGGCACTATGACCAGTTTGCACTAAATGCTAGGTGTTCGCGAGCATGGAAATGTAAATTCCTAGAACCTCCAACATTATAACATATTCCATAAGATCAGTCAAACTGATGAATACAAAATCAGGTGGTCATTTTAGGAAATTCATCTTTTGACAATTGCGCTCGGAGGAAACCTTAATTGTAGTTCTCTCTTGCGTTGAGTGATTTTTGGATTGTTCTGTGTAATCTCTGAATTAGCATTTCTCCAGTAGCATTCCCTCTGAATTGTAGGTGCAAGAACAGGGATTACGTATTCGCCATATTTTGCCTTTTCTAACCTTCATGATCATACATTTGTTTATAAACATTCCAAGGTATCTGATCTCTCTAACAATACTACACAAGGCGTTTAACTCTTCCTCAACTATATCTTTATTCCGTAAATAAGAGTTTTGACCAGGTTATTTTGTACTATAGAGGTAAAAAGCTAAGTATGTGTACTGCCCTATCATAAATTCACATACTATAACTTTAAATGATGCACTTTACCCTTAATCTGGCCACTTTTTGCTTTATTAATCTGCATATATAATTATAGAACCTGAAGAGAATTTATCGAAAAGTATATTCTTCGTTCAAATATTAGTCTTTTAATTTATGTTTGCTATTTTTTATAATCTGAATTGATTTTGGATGTTAAAATAACTTACCCTTTCGTTTATTTCTTGTTGTACATCTATAAGATGTTAAACAGTACTGAAATTTATATCTCAAAGAGTTATAAAATAAAGAAATCTAGCGTTCTTATCGCATGATTAAACTTTATCATTTTTTCAAAAGCGACAATAAATGTACAGTCAGTTTATATGTTCGACTGAAAGTCTGGTTGATGAACAGTAATTAGAGATTTTAATATCAATATGATCTTTATTTTGTCACGATAAATTCCGGCTTATATTTTCAATATAATAATTTAAAATTCTGATTATACCTGGATCACATTTACTTAGAAAAACTGAATATTCTTGATTCAGTCGGTAATTTAAAAAATTACTGAATACGACCATAGATTGAAGTCGGCTATATAATCTTTTGAAAGCATAGAGGATCAGATAATCGTTTTGATCTGATTTGAGTCTTTTCAGTCAATGATGCAAATGATCTTCTAATAGAAAACTCCTTATATTATTATGCTTGTCAAAGACCAGCTCTGAGATTAAATAATTCGATTGTGGGATGATACCCAAAATTTAACATAAGAACAGAACCTACTTTGTACCATGAACCGATTAAAGTTACAAAAAGAGATCTTCGGTGTAACATTATTATTGTTAAATATTTATTTTAATTAATATACTATAACTTTCAATCCTGCATTGCTCTGATGACTGTTATCTTAAAGCCCATCTTTCAAAATATCTTGTTCCCATAAAACGTAGCTTATTATCATTGTAGACTCAGATTGCTTGTCTTCTTAGTTTACTTGCATTATTTTTACAATAGAAGTTTTTTATCATTCGTGGTAAACATAAAAATGCGCTTAACCTCATTTACTATATCCTGAAGGGTTATCAATGGTTTTGTTATTACTTTTGTCGCTAAAAACATAGAATGACTTAATTCAACATAAAATTGATATTTCGACTAAAATTAGATTAGTCGTGGTTAGTATATATTATATCTCTAGACAGAGAGAAACCAGCATGACCAGATACTTGAACAAGAAGCCTGCATGTATCTCAGACACTGTATTCAATGCAGTGACATGCCCATATGCTAATCAAGAAATAAGAGGCCGATGAATAGTACAATTCAAATCGGTTTGGAAATATTAAAAGACCAAAAGATTGAAGTGGTACTTATTCATAGAGATGGGTAATTACAAATCGTCTAACACATCAACAAAACGTCAGAAGTCTCTTTAAGATTCAGAGAAGCAGTGGAAGTAGTACTTCAGTTAAAACCAAAACTTTTTACAAATTTACAAAAAGTAAATTCATTCAATGCTGGCTCAGTGGTCTAGAGGTTAATCGTTCGCGCCTGAGATCGAGTCTCATATGCGGGATCGTGGATGCGCACTGCTGAGGAGTCCCATATTAAAACCGAACGGCTACACAGTGCTTCTAGGTTTTTAGTGATGGTCTAGTTTAGATCGACTGGTGAATTCATTTGTTAAAATACTACAATCTCCACAAATCCCAACACTTATAAAAAATGGTTTTATTTAACAATTTTCTAACTATCCGGAGTGACCTATGCATTGACTAGTAAAGGAATTCGCGTTAACATTCCAACCTGAATATCAGCCAGCATATACTTCTAATTAAAATATTATTTATACATTTAGCTTAATATGTAATTCTGTTAACTGTCTAATTATTTAAGTAATAGTGATCATCAATGACATATTCCTGCATCCTCCCTACTTTTTAGCATCATTTTCGTAGTTATAAAAGAAACACTTATCAAAATACCGTAATCTTAAACTTAAATATCTAGTGCATATGATATTTTAAACATAATAAGTTGTTACTTAGGAATCTTATTTGTAATGAAAATATCATCAAGATTTGAATGTTAGAAAACAAAATGATCGAATGAAATTTGCTACATTTGATCCCTTAATAAATATTTTGACAGATAATCATATTCACAAATGAATTCTTGACATAATATTTCACTTATGTAATACCTTAAACTAGTCGATTTTATTTTCGATAAATTAATTAATCAGGTTATATTAACTGTTATCCGTATTATATTTATCAGATAAAATAGCCACTTGTACATAACTAAGATTAAGACTTTATAACAAAAATCGGTAGTAGAATAGACTCATCTAAGGAATTGAAATCATATCAAGCTGTTTAATGCTATAAAACGGTTCACTTCACATTAAAACAATATTCATTTATTTATTTCATAATTTAAATTGAAATATATACGCTGATTATTACTGTCGCTTGAACAACCTGAAGTAGTTCTTTATGTATATTATTCTACTTTTTATAAGAGAATTGGGTCATTCAACTGAATGTTTATTTTTGAATAAATTTATTTGATTGTAGTAAGTTCCTTTCAAGTTATATTTTCAAATTCATCAATATTCTACAATTCATTTATCTAATTTTCATTTGTCGGATTAGTTAAACGATATATGTTCTTTTGAGATTGAGGTTTACATCAATTTAGGGAATCATTAGTGAAAGATTAGTTAGCAGCTTAGATCAACTATTTGCGATTTATATCTGTTGATGGATGTTATATTTCACAACTATAAAAACTATTTAATTTAAAACACTTCATGCTGAAAGATTGTATTCTTAAATTACTTTAGATTAGTAATATAAGTATCTTTTAAAAAGTGCCTTCTAAATCTATGTAAATGACTGAAAAGAAGGTAGTTTTTAATACAGATTCTTTAAGTGTAATTGACTATATTCTCATATGTATAAATTCAACATGAAACGAAACACATAGAAAGTTCGTTTTATTTGAGTTAAGTTCGAATATATTGATATTTTCAAAATGTTTGTCACAGCTAACTAATCAACTTCCATGCAATAAGAATACTTATTCAAGAAAATAACATCTAGATACTTAGTGGGTATAATTTCGAAAAAAATACTACAGTAACCTTTCAATATGTTCAGGATGAAAACTTTATAATTAAACTAAGAAATAAAGTCAACAATCTAAGGATTAACGAGTAAAATGATCACTGATTCTATTTAATCACATTGTGTCCAAATCTGATCTTTAATTTTGAAACTATTTACCTGAAGGTTTTAATTTTTTTCAAAAAAAATCTGGTCAGTCTGAATTAAAATTCAAAAAAAAAGTTAGTAAACGATAACACAAATAAATTATACTTAGTTTAAATTGTTAACCTTTCTGTCATTTACCATCTTACGTGATACATTGAATTAGAAGGATATATTTCATCAAGTTATCATTAGGACTTAAGATGAAACAAATGACCATGGAAAAAATATTTTGTTGCTTTAATTAGTTATGTGTTTCAGAATTTACTGTGCATTACCAAACTAGAATGTCATATGAACTAACACTAAAAACAAAGTTAAATACTTTAAAGTTCCATCACCCTTGACATATATTAACCAAAACACCCTGTTCAATTTTATTAACGTTTATAAAAGTTCACTACCGAATAATATAATAATGTCAATCCTTCAAAAACCAAATATGTTAAATATAATAAATCAAGAACAAATGAGTAAATGCTTAACTACTTACATTTCGGGTGTTTTTCGGTAAACTCTTAGTAATCAGGAAGATTTTCAGTGTCATAGTAAAGATATTTTGAGTGTCCTAGTTACAATTCACATAGATGAACATTTTTGTATGTTACAAGAAGTTGACAAGATTTTCTATTCAAGTCACTCTAGTATCCCTATTAGACAAACCAGGGTTGGGATTCTGATGGTATAATCGCGGATTTTGGCATTCATAAACCATTTAACAAATGTAAAGTTTGGTTTAAGGAACTTAAAACGATTTGTACTGTGTAACCAGAGTCTTTGTTCTGCACTTTTTTAATCTATCTGGTTTGGAAAACATTGTCAGATAGATCTGTCTGGTTCACATTTCTATGTAGATGATACTGCCTCTTTACATGCACCTTCAATAAGAATAATAATTTTATTTTTAACAATTTGTCGAATAATCTTTAAATATTGACATCAAACTGTAATTATGTCTAAGACATAAACATTTAACAGTAAATACATTAATGCGTTTACTAACTTGCCTTTACGAAAATCAATGCACAACCCTTTTTGAAGGGTGAGCGGTCTTGTCTCATCACTAAGGATATTGGGTATGTTAAACAATAATCGCAAATTAGTTGCCTGTATTTTTAATGAAAGAAAAAAGACAAATGATAAGCTTACGGAAAAATCAACTTCATTTACTTAGATAAATTGACTATTAGCTATAAATTGCACAATAATACTGCAAGATATGAATGAGTAAAATCTATAATGATAACGTTCAAGCGCTTGATTATTTTTTCACAGATACCAAGTTTATTATAATTCAGAACTCAATCAAACTTGTAAAAAACATTCTGGCCTTTGTTATTTGAATTAGGAACTTTTGCCCATACCTATTTCTATTCAAGTTGCCCGGAGTTTACTCAATCTACGTTGATGGCTGAAGACGTCTGTTCTACTTTTTCTGTAACTGTTTGTCTTAAAAAATAAATACCGTTTGATTATTTCATTTTTGTCAATAATTTCACTAAATCATTGTGTTTTATTAGTGTAATATGAATATACTAACTCGGACGACCAATGAAATGTTTGATATTGAGAGGATTATTGAAGCTGTGTTAACGGAATGATTAGCTATTTTGGTAAACATGTATAACTTTATGAGTAATAGATAATATGAAACGTTAAATAAACCCCAAATCATTTTATTCAGTCAGGATGCAAAAACTTAATATGACTTTAATGAAACCTAGTTTCAGAAATCGAGAGGACTACACAACAAATTATATATATGTACATATATATATATATATATTCCATTTCGACTGTTTATCTTTTATTTTGCTCAAACATGAAACGATTGCATATTTTTTTCTTAGAGAATTTCGTAGGTGTTCTTGGCCATTTAGGCGGTGATAAATGGTCACATGGGATATACCTTTACTTGTTGATAGAAATAATTCTTTTCTAGATGTGTTACTACTGGCGCTTGAAAATATCTGCCTAATTTTGTAATGGTTCAGTGGTGAGTAAGTAAGGCTTTTCTGAGTACAATTGAAATCATGAAACAATCAATGTAGAAGACTATTGAAAACCTGGAAACACTAGTATAGAACTTCTCATCCGTGAGTACTCGTGACTCTGTGCTCGGGATTCGAACGCAGGTGATCAAAACATCCGGATTACAACAGAATGCTAGATAACAAAAATATTTGAAGTTACGCAAAACATAACAAAACTGATATTTTGCAGTAAACTTTTCCCCACATGCTTATGTTTTAAAGGTCAATATTTATTTCTAAGAACAACAATGTGCTATGTAAACGGTGACAGGTAAGGCATATTATGTGTTATTTGATAGTAATCTTCTGATCAAGACACTATGTGATACTCATAAGTTCAAAGCTTATATACTACTTAGTTTGAAGAAAAGAGAGAACTTAAGCCTAAGAAATTGATTATCAATGATATATTTGATTCACTAAACTTATCAATTAATGCAATGTTTTGTTCCATTTTTCATATTAAACAATGTAAATGTTTGGTCGATAAGAAAGAAGATATAAAACTAATAACTTCTGCTTGACAAATAATTAACATTATAAGTTTGATTTTGGAAGTAGTTGTTTCTAGAATGATTGAATTTTAAAAAAAAGCAGTTCAGCGGAATTAATAAACGAATCCACCCAAAATCTCAAATCTCAAACTCCAGTAAAATTTACAATGATGTGATAGTAAAATGTTTTACATATTAAAATTGCCATTTTATTCACTTTTCCCCCTAAGTGATTGTTTATCCGTATCTCAAATTTTTGTTGGATATAGATTAAGGAGAAAATTTTTTGAAAAATTTCTCATCTGGTGAAATCATACCCTATATAATCTTGAATATACTCATTCCCTTGAACTGGTCTCATATTGATTTTAAAATGGACTTTTGATGAAACATTTATTAGAACTGATAACCTTAAATATTTATAACGTTATACTAAAATGACGATAAATTCTGGTTCTTAATGAAAATCAGATCTTAGACCATTTACTCGAACACCAGATATAGATGTATATCCATCCTATTGGAAATAAGTACTGTATTCTAGATGTCGCTAGATAATCCAATAAAGTACGAATTTTGAAACTATTGAAATTCGTAGCTAATTTGAACACAATATTATCATAGAATAAACACAGCTTCAAAAAGAAAGGATTACATAACCTCGATCTAAAGCACTTAATTATTTCGCCTAAATAAAATTCTCACTTTTTAAACCTAAATGTAACAGGAAAATCATATTTTGAAAGCAAAGGATTTTCTTATAACTTTTAATTATCACAGTCTACTATGCTTCTGTATGCAATATGGAGTTTATATGTTTCAGTTTTATTATTTCTTATTTTTCGTACATCATTATAAATTAAATTCAAATGATTTCCAGTTCAATTGAGGATAAAATAAGTTATGATTATTATTAATTAATTTTATTGAAGAACAAATCAAAGAAATGAATCGTTTTCAGTGATCGTAGTTAGTTATTAACATAGTAATTTTGGAAAAATTATCACTCCAAGAATATAATTGGGTTGCGAAGCTACAACTGACTCATGAAAATTAACTTTGTAATGATAGATGAAAAACACATTTTCACCTGTCAAAAACCGATGATAAATTTCGTCCGAAAATTTATTGATAATGGTCAATACGAATGAAAACATTTATGGACATTTGCTCTAATAAAGGTATTCAAATATCAGAGATCTTCGTATTGAAATAGATATTGATCGTCATATAATGGAATGGAATAAATCGTGCATTTCACAGTGTACTTAATATTTAACCACTAATGATTTATATATATTGAATGACTTTACATTGTAGTGAAAATATTTTATATTTGAGATGCAGACTTTTTGTCGACAGATATCTAATCAGAATATATACAAACAAAAAAGTTAAAACGCTGAACGATCCTATGAGAAGGTGAATAAGAATGTCGTTTACATTTATTCAACTGAACATTGTGTAAGCTTATATTTAAAATGTCAACTGATGGATATTCCTGAGACTACTTAATTATATTATATTTTATTCTCTCATATATATATACCTTCATAATAATCATATATCACGTTGACGTGCAATATTAATTACGCAACATAGTTTCCATTCAATTATTTTTAGAAAGCTTATATAATTAATGAATAGAAACATCTTGATTTGACAGAAATCAAACTAAATTATTTTGAAAGATGAAAATTTAACTACTTACTACTGACAATCATCTACTGAAAAAAATATAATTATTAAACTGTGCATGCAGTCAACGTTTGATACATTTGTATATGTCCATGAATTAATGTTCGTAACTATGATGCTGAAAAATGTCTATTTTCTTTTATTTTTCGGTAATGAATGAGGATAAAAGTTTTTTTCGCTAATATACATTGATAGACAAAAGGAAATCATTATGAGTAACGTTTCAAGTTAATTCAGTTTTTGAAAAATAGATAAACATGATAAAGTGTTTTCAATTATATCACGTTCAGTAAACATAATTCCTAATATTTGCTATTGTTTAGCGAATCATATTTGTCACCACTTAATTGAAACATATAGACCAAAGTGTAAAAAATGAGTGTTAATAATACCCACAAGTTTTGTATGTATACATGTATAACTAAATAAAATCAAATGTGAACTGATATTTGATTTATACCTTTACGTAACATCTGTATATATATATAATAGTAATAGACAAGTTGTGGTATTTTATTCTTACAAAATCTACATTCAGCTAAACTGATTTATGTTATGTTATCTGACAAAGTATGATTTAATTTCACTAAAATAATTTCTACTAAATCTTTTAGCAATTCAAACACAACTACATTTTAACCAACTCAGTCAGTCAGCTACAACATAGAACCAGGCACATATATGCATCGGTCCAAGTTGCCATACCTCATTAACACAATAAGATGAACACCAAATTCATAGAAGTAGTCAATTAAACGGTAATAATATATAAAAGAAAGATTGCATATAAGGATATAGTACAGGAAGAAAGAATTACTTCGTAGAAAGAAAAGTATGGAGCGATTTTAATTTCATATTTTAAGGAAAGACAAAGAGTATATACACCTACACCATCGCGATCGATTCTGAGCCATGTCACCACGAATCTTCAACCATTGGTTACGATAGTCACGCGGACCACAACCAAGTAGTCTACATCTACCAACATGGCTCAGACCAGAAGTCAGTGATTCCAAACACTGATGCCACGGTTTGGTTTGGCTGCCCCTAACTTTCTTCTAACCATCCCCAACACCATTTAGCATTGCACGTCGTGGTAATCAGTGTTCAGGCATACGCAACACGTGGCCCATTCATCTCAGTCGATGAAGATTCACAACTTCATCAGCTGATTTACCATCATTACCTAATACCCTACCTCTAACCTCACTATTACTTAACCGGTGATCCCAGCAGATGCAAGCAATATTTCTAAGGCATCTGTGGTCAAATACTTGTAGCCTACGAGTATCTTCAACTCTTAATGGCCACGTTTCGCAGCCGTAAAGCAAAGCAAAACGAATTGCCGCGCAGTATACTCGTCCTTTTATTGATAGACGGATATCTCGCCTTCGCCATAGGTGACGTAAGGTGGCAAAAGCCAAACAAGCTTTCCGAATCCGATTTTAATCAACTATCAAGATATCTTTGTAACGGAGCAGAAATATTATCTTTTTTGAGCAAAGATGGATAATGACTAGCAGTGGAATCTACTTGGGATTCGTCAGCTGGGTGTATCTGCATCTAAGAGTTGATGTACATTTCGGGACACGAACCCAGTTCCATACGCTTCAAACGCCATCACGTTACTCACTTGGCCACTGAGACCTGATAGCTACTGAATTGTGCAGTGACATCAAGTGACTTATCTTTTTTGTTTCAAATTAACTTATTTTTCAATAAATTTATCCTAATGTGCAATAACACTATAGTTTACCAATTGCATTACATTTATGTAAATGTGTAACTTAATGACTATCCGCTCCTGAATTTTCTTATTTTCTTTGAGGATGGAAGATTTTTTTACCGAAACCGTACTGTATGGTTAACTCCGCCTGTAGCT